GCCCGTTTGAACTTATATAAATACATGGCTAGGGTTTTAGATCCATAGTGTTTTCATAATTCTTGCTAGCACAAGAGGAGAAACCCTAACAGTTACAGTCTATTCTTTGTGTGGAATTCATTGGAAGCTGGACAATTGGACAGTTGTGGGAGGTAGATTCAAGTTGCTGGAACAAAGATAACGCAAAGGAGTTTGCAAATTAAAGCAAAGGTATAATTCTTATCACAGTTCTTATCTAAATACAAAGATGAATTCTGATGGGAATTGAAATTGTTTTTCTTTTCGCTGTGCATGTTTAAGTAAATTCCCAACAATATCATCCTTCACCATCTTCATTCGATCAAACTGATCATTCGCCAATAGAAACTCCCTTTTATTCAATCCTGAGTCGTGATTCTTTTGCATACTGCAGAACAAATTTGGAGACATCAGCCTTTTCGGAGAACACAGATGATAATAGCGACTCCGAGGTAGCCTCTCCTATCTGCTGTCCGGGGATGAAGTGTCCAAAACGTGCAGCTCTTTCCCGGCTAGGAATGAATCAGCATCAGAAATGCTTGGATGAGAAGAACCGGGATTAAGTATTGACAGATGAAGGTGAGTCTACAGAATTAATTGTGTGTTAGATTATATATCGTGCTGAACAATATTAAAGAAGAGAATTGACTGTCTTATCTGATACAACGTACCATACGTGCCTGTAAAATTGTAGAGTTAGAATTGATGGAGGAGAGATTTGCAAAGCTGTTGTTGGGGGAAAACATGTCAGGAAGTGGGAAAGGAGTTTGCACTGCAGTGACTATTTCAAATGCCATAACAAACCTCTATGGTACTATTTGAAAATCGAAACATAGAGCCCGACATTTTTAAAAGATTCCTTCATAATTTTTTTTTAGCAAATCTCATTAGACTTTTCGTCATGCAGCTTCTGTGTTTGGACCGCATCTGAAACCGGAGCCCTTGCATCCAGAGAAAAAGTCGATGTGGAAGAGAGAAATGAATTGCCTTATATTAGGGTGCAATTTTAACATAGAATTTACTCCCACGTCACAGAATTTAAAAGACAGGACTATTTTGGAGGTGAAGACTAAAAACTTCGGTTTTGTAAGCTAATGTTTTGCTATTTTTGCACCTTTTTTGACAAGTAGATCGATTTTAGTTGATTACAGGCCAACCAAGAGCAGATATTTATATCAACCTTCTAGCACTGAAAAACTTGATGCAATGCTCATGGTGAGAGCAAGTGCTAATAAGTAATTAAATTGTATCATTTCAGAATGAATGCGTTGTTGGAAAAATCTTAATTTGTCATGTAAACTTACATATATAATTAATTGTGTATAAGGCTATCTTAAAGTTAAGCTCAATTTTAAAGTGATCTAATAAAGAATTGAATTGTTGGGTTTAGGGCATCTAAATAAAGTGCGGACTGGATAATATGTGAAGAGACCAGATTTCTTTAAAATTATATTTCATGGTGAGCGAAATACATCTGGAAATTATATATAGGGTTACGGTCCCCAATTCATATGCAACTTCTCATTTTCTGTGTCATCCGTCAACACAAGAATACAAGAGAAAATATATTGAAGAGGAAGATTCAATACCCACAATCAAGAATCAAGAAGGATGAATTCAAGAGCCAAAACTATAGATCAAGAAGCAAAACCAAGAAAAAGAATTAAAGAATCAAATGAGGCAAAGTTCAAGATTAAAAGTGAAGAAGCCAATAATGAAAAGATTGCAGTTCAAGTTTCATGATTCAAGATCTGGAATCAAGATCCAACTGTAAAGAATCATTCCCAAATTATTAAGGTATGTTATGCATTATTAATTTTGTTAGTGATTTGACTTGAAGGATCTTGGCAATAAAGTAATTTAGATTTTCAAGTTCTAAAGTTTCTAGTTCTAAAGTTTTTTCCCCGAAAGTGATGCTCATAGTGAAACTAATTTCATGTGACAGGAAATATTAGATAGCTTTGAGAAGACCGAGTTTTGGTATGCAGAACAAGGAAGTATTTCTGGGAATTCAACGCGTTCTGGATCATTTAGGAAGATGGTTCTGTCTCAGGGCAAAGAGGAAAAAAGGTGGCTGCCAGCTCCTTGTGTTTCCTCGCCAGGTCTCTCCGAGAAATCAAAGATGCATTTGCGCCAAAAAGGCTCTTGTGCCAACCAAATTCACAAAGCAGCAATGGCCATAAACAGTTGCATTCTTGCTGGAATGGAGATTCCAGAATCATACATGCCATCACTTCCTAAGGTAGGTAGTTGCTTCATGGAAAATCCAAAATGATCCAATGTAGAAGCAAATTCGCCATTTCATCACTTCTTTTTATTATTTCAGAGTGGAGGAGCAAGTATAGGCGATATAATTTATCGTCACATGTATACTGCAGAAAATGTTTCTTCAGATCATCTCCTTGACTCTCTGAATATAACCTCAGAACACTAAGCACTCGAGCTTGCAGACAAGGTCGAAGCTTCAATGCACACGTGGAGACGTAACGCATGCTTAGCTCACTCGAAATCATCATGGGACATGGTTAAGGATCTGATGTCTGATATTGATAGAAGTGATAATAATCATATCTTGGCAAAAAGGGCTGAGAATTTGTTGTTTTATTTGAAGCAAAGATATCCCGAACTTTCACAAACAACGTTGGATACGTGCAAGATCCAATATAATAAGGCGAGTTTCTATCTCATTCAAATAAAACATTTAGAAATCTAGGCTTTGATCCTTTTGGAGCAAGAATTATCCGAAATTTTCCTTGTTGCATGATTTAGGACAAGCGATTCTAGAGAGCTATTCGAGAGTGTTGGAAGGTTTGGCATATAACATCTTTGCACGGATTGAGGAAGTACTTTTCGTAGATAAAAGCATGAAAAATCAAGATTGGTAGAAATTACAGCAGCAAATATGCATTTCAATTCCAACTTTCCCACCAAATATCTGTTTGCATTATTTTCAAGATTTGTGGGAGTAGAGAAGTGCTTGACATGAAGGAATCAAGGCAAAAAAATGTGAGCAACTCATATCCACTATTGATATATGTAAAAGCCCCTCGGTTTAGTTAAAAATAAGATTTTTAATAAATTTTGATTATATAATGTGTGGTTGAAACGTTGATTAAAGTTGTGGATAGTTAAAAAATGATTGAGGAAAAATGAATTATAGAAAATGGGAGCCAAATGGGGACTAAATCTTCATTTTTTGTATAATTATATTCCTAGGCCAAACATAGTTTTGTAATGGATAATCTCCATTGACGAGCAGTTTATGCCCAAAAATTCTTTTAGCGAGGGAAAAATATTTTATCAAACTTTTGTATTTGTTGTTTATCTTGTTTTTTAAAAATAGGATGAGCAAATAAGATTTTGCACTCCTTCCAACTGATTTTTTGGCCATTATTTGGGACAATTGTGCTAATTAATTGAATATTAATTATTAAAACATAACGAAAAATGTTAAGGACACAAGTACAAAAATAAACAAAAGTTAGAGACCTTCATTATAATTTAAGTGTGGCGCAGTTGACAAAATGTCAAAGTATGTGATGTGAATATTATTACCATAATTAAATCAGAATATCAATATTATCCTAAAAACCTAGCAATACCTCTCCAACCCCCACCCATGTCTCGTGATCGCGACTCTAACATCAATATCTACGGTCGTTCCATCCATCGTCTTCATCGGTCACCCCTCAAAACGTCAACTCGGCCTCCAATAATTGCCTCCAATTTTTAGCTCATTTTCCGCCCTTTTTCCGATCGCTACCACATCAACAATTTCATATCTACAAGGTCCTATCCCCACTTGGGAATACCATTATCATCCTTTTGTCCTCAAATTTTACAGTATATCATCACCACCTTCGCTTCCCAACAATTTTTGTTGTCAAAATATCATCATTTTCAACGATAGTTTTTTTTATGGTTTTTGTTGGTGCTGCCAAGAGTGGTGCTAGCGGTTGACAAATGCAGTAATGGTGTTGTGTTTGTGGTTCTCACATAGCTTGTTAGTTGTTGTAAGGTTTGTTGGTAAAGAGGTTTTTTGGTCTTTCTACGTAACCAATCTTCTCATTTACGATCAATATTACTTGGAGCTCTTCTAGAACGAATACATTAACAAAAATTTCTTTCATATCCAAATTCGATATTGTGGGAGACCCTAATATAATTATAATTAGCAGGTTAGAAAAAGAATCTTACAGTGTCTAGAATTGGGCCAAGAGGGTCTCTTAACGGATTGATAGCAAAGGTGTTGATTTATTTGTTACAGCAGCTTTTTATTTGAAATATTAATTTCATGTAATTCTAACTAAAGAAAGAATCTTTACAAGTAACATCCACTCATTGAAAAAATGGAGTTATATTTGAAGTATAGGATATTGTTCATATGCCTACAATGAGCAGAATAAAACGGTCCATTTGTTGATGTGGCAGGAATCTTACTTACGATTATCTTCAAATATTCAAATATGAGAACCGTAAGTCTCCAAGTGGACAAGTTAAGACTTTTCACTTTGAGTGGGAGAACATTTCTGATAAATTATATATTCTATTCTTATTATCATTTTTCTTTTCTTTTCACATGAACTGTGATGTATTTCTTGGATTCGTGATTCTTTTAATTAATTTCTATTTTTTGGTCAACGATCAAATCATTATATCATGCCATACCTAATTATAATAAGTCTGACCTTCAATGCAAAGTTAAATTAACGCCAGGAATTTTGTGGCAAACCAACAAGCCAAAATCATTATATTATGAGAAATACACTGTTAAGGCCATCAAAACCAATTTTCTTTTCTTTCTTCTCTCTGTCACTTAAGAAGACCTTTTTCATGGCACAATAATTAGCTGCGCGAATAAGTATAAAATAAGGTAGAATTATTAGCACTCTTTAATGACAATAATATAACAATTTGTGTGTATTTTATGAAAACGACCCACGAAAGCCCATGTTCTTTATCCGGTATACTTCCTGTTTCCCACTCCCACTTCACTTCTTTTTCATCTCTGCTGTCTAATATAATTGAAAAGGAATATCAATCTTGAGTTTACCAAAAGAGTTTAAATAATAAATCGCCTGGTGTAGATAAGATTGGCGATTGAGTTGTTTGCTCTTCTTTTGCATCTTCAATTGAGCTTTCAGGTGTCACCACAATTAATAAAGCCCTCATCTTTTTCTTGGCTTGATTTAAGATTCCAAGTGCTTTCTTTGAGGTAGTTTTATTGGTTCTCTTTTGATCCATGCGATCTTCGATTACTTGTTTCAATTTTGATCATATTTGTTGAATTTAAATTGGGTTTTAGCTTCATGTTAACTCCTGGTACGTTAATGTTCGAATCATGTTCGATTCTTAATTTAGGATTCTTGGACTGTTTTAGTATGTCATGAATAGCTTTTTTTTTCTTTTCTTTTTTTTTTTTTTAAGTAAAATCACTTGGTTTATATTTAACCTGATCAAGATTTCAGAGTTATGGGGTTTTTTTTTTTTTTTTTAACTGCCCATGTTGTGTTGTTAGTATGAATGTTTGATTGAAAAAAAAAAAAAAACTGTCTCTTTGACGGTTCCTTTTTCTACTTCCTTCTCTGCAGGTTTTTATATAATTTTGGTACATTTCGTGATTTGACTTTGTTTGATCGCTTTATTTTGTCAATAGATGGGGTCTGAAGGGCCTGCTCCAGCAGTAACAATCCATGTGACAGGATTTAAAAAATTTCATGGGGTTGCGGAAAATCCAACTGAGACAATTGTAAATAATCTCCAAGATTTCATGAAGAAAAGAGGTTTTCCGAAAGGGCTGATCCTTGGTAGTTGCTCAATTCTTGAAACGGCGGGACAAGGGGCTCTGGCTCCCTTATACCAAACATTGCAATCAGCTGTGATCAGGGAAGGCACCATGTCGAATTCTGGGAGAGTAATATGGGTGAGTTGCTCATTTATCCCTCCTATTTTAGCCTCATATGTAGTGGCCCTGACAAAATGGGGTGAATTATGTTGAAAATCTATTATTAATTATCCAAAAGAAAGGTTTTTATTTTCACTCGAGGCTAAATGATTTTTAAGTTTGGTGAATTGTTTTTGAATATGGCATTGGGAAGTTCTTTTACCTATTTGACAGCAAGATAGTGATGGTTTATCTATCATATTTCTTCGCTTATTTAGAATATGATAAGTGGCCACCACTTCCTATTGCAAGAAGGGCGGAGGCCTTTTTGCAAGTGCTTGGAAAACATAATCTGTGTTAGAAGCTGAGTCCTTAAAAATCTTGTCATGGATAAAAAAGAAACCCATCTCCTATGATCCAAATGTTTTATGTGTTAAATGCCGTCATCTCCTACAGATGTGTTTGTCTTTCTCATCACTGAGAAGTGAGATCTATTATTAGTCCATTTTGCTTGCATGTCTAGTTTGCCATGTTCGCTGCTAATTCGTAGTTCACTCTTGTATTTTTGTTACTGTAGTAATTAAATTTAATTAAGTGAGTTCGAGAATTAAATATAATTTTCATTAAAAAAAATAATAAAATAAAATAAAATAAAATCTAACACTGTGTTTACAGATGCTAGCAAGACATGTCTATAGTTATTTTCTGGAACCTGCAAATCAAAAGTCATCTCTAATTCGAACCCCGCTTTGATGACATGACGTGTTTCCCACAATGACATGCTATGTTTCTTGCTCAACATGGTACTTTATCTTCAGGTACATTTTGGTGTCAATAGTGGCGCAACGAGGTTTGCTTTAGAACATCAAGCAGTCAATGAAGCTACATTTCGTTGCCCTGATGAGATGGGATGGAAGCCTCAGGTTTTATCATCGCCCTTTCAGATTTCTCCCTTTCTCATTTCAATTCTTATTAATCGTAAGGTTTATTTTGATTTGTCTTCTTTTATTGCAGAAAATCCCCATTGTTCCCTCTGATGGTGCGATTTCACGAATACGAGAGGTACAGTGTTTTTTAGTGATGCTTTTCTTGAAATCTATAATGACTTAGACTTAAGCCAAGTGGCGAAATATGGAATATCCATGAAAATATGTAATGTCAAGTACGAAAGTTTTGAAACTGAATCTGTAAAGATTGCTGTAAATTTAATAATTCCACATACCACGCCTTCTTTTCTAGATGGTAGAACTAGTTGAGCATGTTCTAAGATCTTACAGAACATTTTCTTTTCCTTTATCAGGGGGCTAGGGAAGATAAACTTTGACCATATAGCATCTATCTATTAATTCGTGCTTAGTGTATGCGTATTCCTTTCCTTCACAAATGTTAGTGATTTCCATCTGGAAGGCTGTAAAAAAATAATAATAATAAATAAAGAGAAACTTAAACGAAAATATGGAGCTTTTTCCGTTTATGATAATTGAAGAAATCATTAATGAAATTTCAGGAGTTACTTTGCTGTGGACTGAGTAAATTGATGGGGAACGAACAAAATGAAAAACTGGCGTGATCCTGATTATTTTTTGACGAATTGTTGCTTTTGGTCTTACCTGATATTTTAGGAACTGAACAGAAGTTTGATGTATAATTAATTCTCGGAAACCCTGCTTTTGTCTTGCCTTTAATGGCTGTCTATATTAGTTGTATAAAGTTGGTAGATATATGAATCGAGATGAATTTACTTCCTGCAGAGTTCCCTTCCTGTGGAGGATATTACCAAAGCATTGGCAAAGATGGGATATGAAGTGATGACCTCAGATGATGCTGGCCGGTTTGTCTGCAATTATGTATACTACCATTCCTTGCGATTCGCAGAGCAGAATGGAATTAAATCACTATTTGTACACGTTCCCCTCTTCTTGACTATAGACAAGGAGACTCAAATGCAGTTTGCTGCTTCCTTGATGGAGGTACTTGCATCTTTATGCTAGATCCTCTACTGTCTCAAATATCTACTTCTGCAACGACTTTTATGTCCGTTTGTCACGTATGTGAAGATAAATTTGAATATTTATGCAGTGGTTTAATAAATTGTTTAACGGTTTCTGGGTATCGACTGGAGTCGAGGTTTCATTGCTCTCTTTTTCATATACACTTGTGTTTCTGTCTGTCATTCATCCCTCGATGAATAACTTGCGCACATTTTGAGCAAGCTTGAAACGATATGCTAAGCTCATCTCAGTAGTCCAAACAATGAAATATTTATTTCTTGGCCAAAACTGAAGTAATGGAGTTCTTCAAGATATGAATATGCATAAATGTATTATTATTGCTTGCGAAAGCAATAGGCTTCTGTTTGGTTTTGATAAAACTCTGATGAAATATATAATTGAATAGCTGATAAAAGATATCAATTCCTTGAAATGTGTGGTTAAAGAAATAAATAAATAATGGGAACCACAAGGGAGCTAAATCTATATCTCTATTTAAGAAAAAATTATGATGAAATTGATGTCTGCATAACTTACTTCTCTAACTTCACTCCAAGTCACCAAAATTTATTAGTTTATGTTTCCAAAATAATCCTAGGATTATACAGTAGAAATTGTAATACTTTACTTGCATGAAGAAACCAACTGCGTGTTTTCTAACTTATTTTGAGAAATGACACATAAAAAGTTAAAATATGCTGATGGAAGATGCTTCAACTTCCCGACTAGGTTGATATCGAGTTCCTTCATTGTGTCATTTTCAGTTATATCTTGATGAAATTGGCAGTCCAAAGATCAGGGTCTGTTGAGCATTATAATCGAGGGATTGTTGAAGAGTCGAATCTGAACTCTATTTACATGATGATTTCTTGCTTAGCCTCCGCTTTGAGTTGAGAATTGAGGAACTCGGCCAAGTGGAATGATCAGATCCTTCATTATCTCGTACTCTTCAGCACTAATCTGAGCACCCTCGAGAACCTGCTTAAACAAAACAACTTTCAAGTTAACGAGTGATTGAAAAAACTGCAAAAAAGGATTTATATATTATCACGACATAGAATGCCAAATACGACGAATCATATATTGCAGCATAGTATCAGTTTCTCTTTTTTGTTAATACTTGAGCAGCAAAATATGGTACCAGCAGTCCATCATAAAATAATAATTACAATATACATAAAAAGATCGAACTAAATTAACAAAACCCTTTCAGCATCCTAAACCCTTGTGATCTATAGTTTCTATCCTATACAAATTCATATCTACAGTTCCACAATTCACAACACCATTTCAAGAAGCTAGCAAGTATATATGATATTCAAAGACAAAATCATTGAATCGTAGATTTAAAAATAATAGTAAAACCGGACCATAACCAGTCCATGCATTAAAGCAGAAGTAACATCCTACATAGTTGTCTTTATATCCCCTTCTGAAATTGTTTAGAGATGAACAGACTAGAAGTGACAAAACAAGCTGATCATTCAAGAAATTGACTTTATGCAACAATGCGTCTTTAGCCAATCAACTTTGCATGATTTCATAGGACTCCATTGCAATTATTAATGCGAGTGTCTATACGTCAAAACATGAGAAGACACGAACCCAGATTCCAAAGCCTCACCTTGGGAAGCAAAACTCTCCTGCCCGTCATATATTGTGTGAGTGCGGGAATCCTGCTGACAGAAAGTGCATCAAGGAACAAAAGGACAATTACTTGCCACTGCTTCATCCTGAATGATGGAAGTGGGTCGGCAAAAGACATTGTATCTAGTAAGCGTGCCTGCAAAATAAATAGATCAAGAAAAAGAAAGGGATCCTCAAAGAAAGTGTACTGAACAAGAAACAAATAGTTCCATTCTGCTAGTTGATTTCACGCAGAACTCCTTCAATAAATACAACATATCCTTCACGCCGCAGTAAGTTTGAACGGTCATGAGTCCATATTTCATCACCAGACAATGCCAAGTTTACAATTGCTGCTGAACACGGAAATTAAGGCCAGTGCCAGTGGATCCTTAGTGTTTACATCCTTTTCCATTCCAGGTTCCCTTTTCATCCAAATCCTGACCTAATTCCTCATTTTTTTGCCTCCCCTTTTTAGTTAAGCTCTTCGAAACCAGAAGAGAACTCTTGATTCAATATCTTTTCGTTAAAATGCAGGAGAATAAAAAAACTGTAGCATTAAAAAATGTTCAGTACATACAATGCCTTGTTCAAGAGTTGATATTGGTGTTGGCAGTCTGAGCTCAGCAACAAGTCCCGGCAAGGATCGAGCAAGGCAGCCAGCAAGAGTTAGCTTGATTTCAGAGGAGCGACCATCTTCCATAACAATTTTGCAAGGATACTCCCTCCCATTGATGGATAAATATTCTTCATGATAACTTTCATCACGTCCATATATATAGGCCACAGAGGATGACGATATCCAGGAAAAAAGAGCCATAAACATTGTTGAAAAAGGCGATAACTAAATCAAAAGCCAAATGTCAATTGCGAAACAATCCATGCACAAAATATAGAAGTTGAAAAATGTAGCTTAGAGTTAAATGAACGACTTACAGTCAAACTAAAACCCTCCGGGTGACTATCATACCAAGAATCCTCAGAGTCAAACAGATCATAATTTGGAAAGCCTGGTTTTGAAGGCCACTTTAAAACAGATGGATCAGTATCCATAACATCGCCATTCTCTTGAGGTTCAGCTTCATCCACTTCACGAGGTGGTGGTAATATAATAACACCTGCTTCAGACACTGGAGGGGCAAATGCAATGAGTAATTGAGAATCATAATGGACAAGAATCTCTCAAGTAAAATTGGCAGCTTTATACAAAGATATATAAAGCAAATAATATCATGTACCTGCATCTGATACATCAGATTTTTCAGATGCAACAGCTTCTGCTGCTTGGATTAGAGCCTTTGCACAGGCTTCTGCTGATGAAAATCTAAACGACTCTTCACCCACTTCCGTGTCTCTGAAGTTTGATTCCACAACAGCTTCTTTCTTATCATCTAATTCTCTAGACTCACAAAGGTTTTTTCCCTCACCGCGAGCATTCCCATCAGCCCAAGTAACAAAGCGGATAGCTTTTTTTGCGTCTGAAGTTTTTAAAGAAGATTTGAGCTTAGTGAAAGTAGCTGTAGATAACTTCTGGTGGTTGTAATCTGTTTCTTCCTTCATTGCCTTACTGCTAGGATGGCTAGTACCAGGAGACACTTCTGAGACATTAAGTTTGTCATCTCCATATTTGTACTTATCAGATTTATACAATTTTGTTTCTGGCATGCTTCCCATTGGAGCATCTGGGTTTTGCACAGTGCTGTCCTGATCTCTTGCATCTTCACAACTCACTTTTCCTTTTGGTTCTTCACCTTTCATATGGGTAACAATTTTTCTAGGACCAGGTAGTTTTGAAATGCTGTACTCGTCTTGTGTAATTATAGTACTAGAGAAGTTCATATCATTGAATATAATGTCTTCTTTATTTGGTTCCGCGCGGTTGGGTTTAGATTCTGAAACGTGCATACACTAATTACATGAATCAACTGCATAGATTTGATGAACTAGAAAATCCAAATCGCGTGTTACAACAACAATAATATTGGCACGTATAAAAATTAATAAGAACACTAGTAAATCAGTATTCTAAATCTACCAAGTTGTTCTAGTCCTGTACCTTTTTTAAGATTCTTTGATTGTCGTGGCTTCAAATTGATATCTCTCTGTGGGACATAACCTTCAATAGCATTTGAAGGACCAATCCACTCCTCTACAGAAACTTCCCCAGCTTTAGTGTCGGTTTTCTCCTGAATTTTCAACTCGGACAATCCTAAATCTCCATTCTTACCTATGTCCACTTTAGAGTTCAAACTCAACCCTTCAAACATATTCAGAACCTCATAAAGTTTTCCCAGGTTCAGAGTCGAGGATCTCTCTTCTTGCAAACTCCCAACAAATGCCCGACTATTTATCAAACAACTAGAAGAGCAATACATGTATGTTTCATGAAGGTCGTATACTTTATGCTCCTTGAGTGATATTCGGAAATGCCCCTTCCGAGGCCGCTCAGAAGGCAAAGAATTGATGCAGAGTGGGTAACCACACATGTTGGCTATTGTGCGCTCTGTTACCACATCTTGGTAGTCACTCTGAGACATCAATGAAGCAGCAGCGAATAGCTGGTTCTCATCTTTAATGCCTTCAAGAAGAGAAATTTGCAGCTTGTGAACTGCATCCTTTACCGTTAATACTTCATCCATTGCCATCTGCAGCAAAAATAGGAATTCCTGAACCAATCATTAAAATAAATTGAACTCCTAATTTGTATAGCAACCAGCATTGGAAGACTTTCCAATGATGCTTACTCTACAATTTGGATAAACAAACAATTATCGTGAAATCCCTCCATCTCTCGCCTTATGAATAGCAAATATTTTTTTTTAAAAAGAGAAGCATTTGTTCTCGTTAGATTATCACACCCCACCCCACCCCACCCCCCCCAAAAAAACCCCCCCCCCCCCCCCACAAAAAAAAAATCCAAATAATAAATAATTCTGAAACCTTCATAAACCTTTTTAAGTTCATAAACCCTTTTAGGCGCTGCTAGAATTAAAACATGGATTGATACGCCCCCTTATTAACTCCTTGAGACGGTAAAATCACAACATAACAAAATACCCAAACTAATCACGAAGATTGATATAACCATAATCTGTAATTGGGTATCTAAGCCACCTGATACAAAGGCAAAAACAAATCATCTACTAAAGCCTGTATTTCCACTGCCAGATATCGACGACTGAAAATACCCTAAACAGCTAGTGATCCTACACGAGAAAATAGAAATGTTTGATCGACGGTGGGCTAGGGTTTCGTAAATTTTATCATTATCGCGTGCTCAAGTCCCTCCCTCCCAAAATGGTAGAGAAGGGGTTATTTGACTCTATTACACAGTCACAAACATACAAAAATGACTTGCAAAATTATTTTTATATTGCAGCTAGAAGTGGAAGAGAGACTAAATCATCTAGCGAGAGAATAATCTTAACTGCGAATAATGGAATAAGGGACTGACACAAGGGAGACGAAGAAACTATTATACGAAGATGGAAATCTGGTGGTGGTTGTTGTCACGGTTGAAACCCGGTTTTGTCCTCGCCATAACTGCAGCCCAGAAAATGAAGATTTTCTAGCTGAAATCAGCCGGAATAGCAACCAAATAAAGAGAAAAGAGAAGGGGGGAGGGATTAAACGACGTAAAATAAGAACGAGAAGGAGAGGACTGAATTGAATTGCTTCAATTAACACCCAATTTGGGCAGAAAACACATCACAGACGATCGACCCCTTTCTTCTTCTCACAGGCTGCATAAATATACACGCACGTTTGAAGTCGTGTGTCACAAAATGAACAGTAAAAGAACGATTACAACTTAACTAAACGGTGTCGTCTGGTTATTTGCTAAACGGTGCCGTTTCCCCATTGGCTCATTTCATGACAGTTGTCGGGTCCGATGGTGGCGGTTTTGAGTGGGGCCAAGATGGGGGCTGCCGGCGTGTGGTTGTGATGGCACGGGACTTCTGTAGAGTTGAAGTAAGGGGGTTCAGGGAAGATGAGGTGGAGAGATTTGTAGTAGGTGTCTGCGTTTTATGGATATATTACTGTTAATTCATTTTTATAATTATTTAAGTGAATTTTAGGAAAAATAAATAAATAAATAAATAAATAAATAAATATATATATATATATATATATATATATATTATTGAATAGATTTTTTTTTTCTTTTTACTTCAAACAATCTCAATTTTAATTTTAAAGCGGTATAATTATTGGGACAATTTCACAAATACTCTAGTTTGTCAAAAAAAACTCAAAATATATCCTTTAGTAATTTTTGAAAATTACCCCTTTTATAAAAATGATATTTTACAATTACCTTCTTTTATATTTTTTTAAATATACATTTTTCATATAAATTAACATTTCAAATTTTCATTAAAAAAACATTTTTATAAATTTCATGTTAGAGTAATTTTAGAAAGCCTCAACCATTTCAGTTTTTCAATTAAAAAAAATAAATTTTACGGTACATTTGATTGCAAGCATGAAATTTGTATGAAAAAATATAAATTATAGGCAATTCAATTGCCTATAACTTATTTTCATGAAAATTATCAATTAAATGTGTTTGATTTATTTAATTTTCGACCTAAAAAATATTATACAAGTCCATTTTTTTTATTTATGGGTAGATGAGAGGGAGAAAGGGAGAGTGAATTATCTTGAAAATAAAATCATACTCTTCTAAAGAAAATATTTTCCTTGATTTTGAGAAAAACATAGTCACGTGACCGAAAGTAGGAAAATGTTTTCAATGAAAAAATGTCAATCAAACAGCAAAAAAATAAAAATGTGAATGGAAAAACATATTTTTCATAAAAAAATATTGACAATCGTTTCACTCTTAGTGTAACATATGTTATTGTATTTACTATTTATTAAAAAGTCAAAATATTACACAAATAATCAGTTATCATGCTACAGAACATTTTATGAAAAATCACTCTACCAACACTATAAATTTCTATTGATTCTCTCAATTAGCATACATATGTCTACTAAATCTCCTTGCAAATTGATTCCAAAACAGATATATAAGTTTCAAAACATAGTTATCAAATCTGGTCCAATCATCAACTCAACTAAAGTGTCAGGTTAGTTTAATTTTGAAAATTAAAATAGATCCCAATTGAAAATCCATTTAGTAATTGAAATAAAATAAAATTTCAGATTTTTGCTTTCAAAAAATTAAATATAATATCTTTAAGAATACTTCAATCTAAACATTCATATTGTTATAAATATAGTAGTATTTATGAATGATTTTTATACCTCTACGACCTTGGTCTTTATAACTGTTGTATTCCTTATAGCCCTAATTCTTCCCTATAACTATGAGGCTTTAGTTCTTAATAAAATGCACAAATTTATTGGCTTCTCTCTTTTTGTTCCCACTTTTTTTCTATTGCTTATAATACGTGGTCAGTGCGATTCTCTCAAAATCAAAGTAAATTAGTTTAGAATGTAATAATTTTTATAAGTATAATCATTTGTCACATGTACCAAAATTAATTTGGAGACATGCGAATTCTTTCAATGTACATATGCATCAAAAAGAAATTGTTTCTTTTTCTCTATTTTTTGTTTATATGCATATTAATTCTAATTCGCATTTATATGAGTAATCTGTACACATTAATTCATGGTTCATTAAGTAAATTAATGCTTTACCAATAACTCTGTCTTTGATTCTGGTTCATTAAGTAAATTAATGCTTTACCAATAACTCTGTCTTTGATTCTACCACATATTAGTTTTTTCTTTAATTCTACCTTAGATGTTTGTATTCGTGGAATTCACGTGCATGTTTGGTATCTTTTACATGTTGGTAAAAAATTTAGCCAATAAAAGATTTAAGCAATTTTGTTAACTTCTATATATGAAGATTTTTCTATAATAAATGATTGGTAATTAATTTTTATATTATATCTTGTTTGTACGGTAATTAGTATTTTTAACCTGATTAAATTTTTTTAGATATTACTTTCTAAATTTTAAATTGATAATTCATCGTGTTGTTGCTCCTGAAATAGCATGACATTATACTTAAAATTCTAGGAGTATAATTTGCTCCTTAAAATCGTGAATTATAATTTTCAATATTTCAGAAAAATATTGACTTGTTGCTTCCAAAGAAGTACAACTTTGTAAATATTATATTTTTATAGAAAGAATACTCCTGAATAGTTAATGTTTCTCACTAATAGTTTGTTGTTACTTTTGAAGTAACACAATACTATTAATATTTAAGAAGAATATTAACTTATCACTCTTGAAGAGCATGAATTATAACTTTCAATATTCCAGAAGAAAATTGACATGTTATTCTTAAAGAAATAATAATAAAAGATAACGTGCTCTCGGAGTAGCATAAAATTCGAAGAATATATCATTTTGAATCATATTTATCCTTAAAAGGAAACATACAACCCATATCACGTGGACATTGATTTTTATATGATTATATCTTGATTAATCATATTTTTGAGAATTAATTGTGTCTAACAAGTTTATCTGCATCTTAGCGTAGTTCGCAATTATGTTTCATTCCTTCTTTCAAGCAGCGAAGGAAGAGATGTTGTTTGATTGAATAGTTATTCAAATGGTAAGCGTTATAGTGAGCCAGAGTTCAATTACTGAATATATTATTGTTTGGAACTACCAGGTGGACCATCACTGGATTAATAACAATGAAAATTGAGAATTCAATCATTTAATGAAAAACCAGAAGCCTCTTTAATCTAAAGAATTTATATTTAATGTTTGCTCTTAAGATTGAAAATTGATCATTGATCGTCACTAACTAAAATATGGATTGAATTTCCTATATTCTTGAAATTCACTAGGATAATAAATGAAGCTCCACCATCCTCCATGTTGACCATCTAAATAGTATTTGTATCTAGTAGATTTGATACATATATTAGATTGATTGCATGGTGTTCGTAACCTGAAATTTGCAAAATTACTACTCAAATTTTAATTTATGAGCATAATTTTCAGATTATAAAATCTAAACCGTGTTTTGTTAATGATAGTGGATATAAATCTCAATATTTTAATAAGTGTTAGTTAAAATGTCGATAAATAATTTAACATTATTACTTGTTAAACACCTTCAATTAATTTAATTGAGAATAACGTACTTTCCATTTTTGTTTAAGGAATGCTATTACGTATCATGTCAATATCATAGTTCTCCATATTATAATCAGTTTATGGTCAGAGCCTAATTTTTTCATCTAATTATCTTGATAATACAGTATGTGTAAATTTAATCCACCACAATGTACTGAAATGAAAAGTAGAGAATGTTGAGAATAAATGCGTAGTTTCATTATCACAAATGGGTGATATTTTATAAAGTTAGAAAAATGATGGTCAATTTAATTGGACAAATCTCTCAGCATCAGGGGAAATAATTAAGAATCTCAAAATAATGTACAAATGCATCATTATATAAAACATCGCAAAAGATAATTTAAATCGGAACTTTGAAAGATAATATATTTAGATGCATTTATTGACAAAAAATATCAACAATATCTTAGACCAACTTTAAATCTTCAATTCGAATTAATGTCGTAAAGGACAATTAGTTAATACTATATTTGATAAACTTATGGCACGTTTGAAGTGTGGTGTATTCGACATAATATAAAAAAATTCAAAAAAAAATGGAGCAATTAGTAAAGATGGTCCCGTTAATGAGACATAATCTTGATGAGTATTTAAACATAAAAAATTATAAAACCTTAGAGAAGGTTTAGGTGCCTAAAATAATGAAACTTGAGATATCTCAATACGTCATATCATTATGAGAAAATAAAAAGTTGTTGACAAGACGTTTGCACATGATGTACAACACCATATTATAAATAGGAAGAAATAGAAATAAATTCGTCAAAGTATATCGATCGAAGTAATGATTGGCCAAATAAAATGATGTGATCACACTAAAATTAATTTTACTATAGAAACATGAAGATTCTAGATGTGATCCTTGTAAAACTGAACTTGTTAGAGAAATCTAAAGTTTCTGGATCTACCGTCTGAACACCTAAAGGTTTATACTTATGTGAAATAAAAATGAAAATGGTAAAGTCGTAATATAAAATGTACGACTTTACGTAGAGGTGGCAATCGAGTCGAGCTGTTTGTCGACTGGTCGCTCGGCTCGTAAAAAGATGGCTCATGGACGACTCAAGCTAGTATTTTGACGAGCTGAGCGAGCCTGCTCGATATGTGAGCCGAACCCGCTCTGCTCGTCCATGGGCGAGCGGCTTGTGGGCCATGAGCCCACGAATTTGGCTCATGGGCTTGTGAAAAAATGGAAACAAAAGAGTCAAAAATATTTAAAAGAAAAACTTTTGAGCTAATGGGCTCAGCCCGGCTCATAAGTGACAAGCTCGGCCCTTGAGCACGAGCTGGCTCGAGTTTGGCTCGAATAGTCACTTTAACGAGCCAAGCTCCTGGGTAGATGGTCGGTTCGGCCCATGGCCACCCTTAACTTTATATAATGAATTTCTTGATGACTTGTATAAATAGATAAATTATAATGTAATATATATATTTACAAGTCTATATTTCATTAACGTGACAATGCATAGAATTTGACATGCATATAATAAATGTAATTATAGACGATTTATCTTGTATAGTTTTGATATTATCCCGGAATGCTTTAATATACATGAAGCATAATCTAAGTAATATTATCGTGAGTGTGAGTAACTACGTGTTATACTTTTTTTCTTTGACCGAGGTTTTGTCCCATTGAGTTTTCCTGACAAGATTTTTAGCGATAAAACTTTTGTAATGTGTTAAAAAAAATGTACTTTTTTTCGTTCATTATGATTCTTTAATAAAGTTTTAACAAGGAATATTCTTTGTGTAATGAATGTCAATAATATACAAGATATTTTCCCTCAAAATAATGCTTTTATATGTATAAGGCTCTCGAAAATATCAACAAGGCTATTTTTTGAATCATCATGTTATTACAATTATCAAGATTTAACCCATCGAATTATCTAGAAGACATTAACATACAAGACATCAATATTAAAGACATAGATCACTTAATACGAGATTGAGAGCTTGTTTGGTACGGAATATAAGCGAATTAAAAACAATTTTTTTATCGTTATTTCCCTATTTCAGCTGTCATTTTTGAATTATTCCGTTCTATGTAAGATCCACTTTATCTCCAACAGTTGAAAAATCAATTATCCATATCCCTACCAAACAAGCACTGAAATTATGGAGAGTAGATATACTATTTTTCCTTCGATCAAGTTTTGTCCTAATGAATTTTCTTGACAGGGTTTTAATGAGTCATCATTTTATTAGTTCAAATAATTTGTCTCTTTTTTTATCTTTTAGTATTTTTATCCCATCGAATTTTTGTCAAATAATGTTTCAATGAAATACTTATTGTATAAATAGTCATTCAAATTCAATAGACAGTAATGTAAATATAATAGTATTTATAAATAACTTTTATACAGTCCTACTCATTATAATCGTTGTATCACTTGTAGATATAATTATTCCCTATAAATATGGAACTTTAATTCTTAATAAAACAAACAAGTTTATTGACTTCTCTCTTTCGCTCTTTCTTTTTCCCTATAGTTTATAGCACATATATAATTCTCTCTTTTTCTCTTTAGTTTATGATATAAATCTATTTAAATATTTAGAATGTCTATTTGAATTTTTGAACCATTTTATGTTTTAGTTAATTATTTTTTTTATATAAAATACATTTAAAAATTATATTATTAATTATGACATAGATCTATATGTGTAGATTTTTATCAACAATTTTAACTAAAAGAAAACAACCCTGCTACACAAATAGGGGCCTGTGACAGGGTTGAGGTGTCCCTGATCTGAAATTTGAATTTTCATATCAGGGGCACCTTAGCCCCTATCACATAGTCCCTGTTTGAGTAGCAAATTTAGAAGAAAAAGCAATCTAGTGACAACTGGCCACACTGTTAATATAGGTATGTACATTTTTTAAAGAATTAAATCTAGTTGTACAATCATGCTTGACAATGTTGATGTTGTCAAAATTCGAGCCATTAATTTTAAAAACAGTTTTTGAAATAGATGAATGTAATGTTGACAAATATAATTGTCAACTAAAATTGTAAGAAAAACTTGTATGAATAGCACGATTGTTTTGTAAAAGAAGGTGTAAATAATAGGCAGGTTGTACTACATTTGAAACCGTAGAACCAACAAGTTACACTTGATTAATTTTCGGTGCTGGGCCTAACTTTTTTGATAGTATATCCTAATTACAATGTGTTCAAAATAAATTACTTCATCCGTCCCAATTATATATATTTGTTTCATTTTTCACACGGATTAAAAATATTCTTTAATGTCATTGGAAATTTAATTTTTGCCAATATCTTTCCTATTTTACCCATATTTAATTTTTAGTGTGTAATAGTAAATTATTGTTGAAATTAGTAAAGAATTTGAAAAAGAAGAAATAAGGTAGTGTTTGATTGGAGGTGGAATTCCATGTAAAATGGAATTGGAATTCCACCTTCCAATTTAATGGTGTTTGATAGCATTTTAATGGCCTAAAATTGCATTTCCATGTTTTGTGCCACATCAATCAAATTCCACCAAATGAAGGAATTGCAATTCTCACCAATATGGTGAAAATTGCAATTCTAGGTTACCGTAACGTTTTTTTTATTTTTTTCGATTTTTTATTTTTTTGGTTGACAATGAAGACAAATTCTAAGAATTATTATAAAAAAAAATTTCCTTTAATTGACAATTTTCATGTAAAACAAATTCAAACGAACATAAAAAGATAGATGATTTTCTTGAAATTTTTGTTTTTTTGTTTTGGCAATGGAAACAAATTTCATCCTCAATACCAGTAAATTCTATCCCTTTAATTGACAATTTTCATATAAAACAAAGCCAAACGAACATAAAAAAATACTTTAATTTAAATATTTTCCACGCGAAAAATTATACCAATCAAACACAATAATTTACAATTCTCAAGAAAACAATTTCCCATCAATTCAATTCCCTGAAATTCATTTTCTTTCCACCTAAATTCCACCTTTGCAATCAAATGGACCCTAAGAGTTGTTCCATGCTTTCAAGAATTAAGAAATGTGTATATTTGGATTATTTCAAGAAATTGACATATTAAATGAGAAAAATTGAATAAAGTTATATATTGATAAAGGAACACAACAAAACAATCTAAATTAAAAAACGGACTTATATATTTGGGACAAGAGAAAATGTAAACTCGACCTATATAACTGGGATGAGTAATCAATAAATTCATTTCTACCCATAATGGTTAAACCAGTCCAATAACTGAATCTAATGCTTTAATCCAACCCCAGTTCATTGGAACGTATACAGTGATCATCATCATTCTCGATAATAGAATAACCCTATATTAACTTCACCATCCTGTTCCATAAAATAACCCAAATCCATTGCATTTCATAAACACAACATGACAAACTCACAAATCAAAGGAGCAATGGACCGCCAATGATTTATAACATAACCATGTAGCTGAATATCAACTTTGACTCCCAAGAAATCCCATTATAAGCTAATAAAAACATAAAAATTAGTTTTATAATAAAGCTACAGCAACCAATTTACAAGCAAAATCTGTGAAATAAGCATCACACGAGAAGACCAAAGATAAACAGTAAAATTAACCGATTAAAAAGAAACTAATGGTAAGTTGATTAAAGTCTATTGCAACTTGCAGCTTAGGAAGGCAAAATCCATTGAACTCGATAAACTCGAAATGAACAAAACCTTCCATTAGTCTACCTAAACTTCATTCGCTTGGATGCAGCAACGCTAGGAGAAGCCCTTGACTTGCCAAAAGCTTTCGCCTTTCTTCTTCTCCTCTCATCCTCGCTGTCTGATTCATCTCTCTCCCTGTCTGCATTGCTAGCTTCCCTCTCTAACTCTTCCCACGTCTTGCCTTTCTCTTCCTCTGATTCTTCCACTGAATCTTCTTCTTCGTCGTCTTCAGACTCCACCAGTGATTCACTGTCCGAGTCGTCATCTTCCGATTCTGAAACCGGCTCCGCATCTGATGGCTCATAACCTTGGTCCGACTCTTCGGAGTTGTCAGAATCTGAGTCAGTAGCTTCTAGATTCAGAAATTCCCAGCCACCGTCCTCTATAAATTTCTGAGGATCATCAGTGATGGTCTTCAATATTGGACGCCAATTCAAATTCAGCCTACTCTCATAGTATTTGATGTCTGTAGTGTCGAGCCACTCCTTAATGCCATCAAGTGAAGAGGATGGTATGGAATCTATTCGCATCACATCACGCTTGAAGTCCTTGAAAACAATAGCCATGTCGAAATTCTTCTGTCCAAGACCAACTCTCTCCAAATTTACAATCTCAATCTCGCTCAAGGTGATCACAAGGAATGGAGTCTCTACCAGTTCAACCAAACAGCTAGAAGTTGGAACTATAAAAGCAGAAGCTTTGTAGGGCACCCCATGAAATCCAAGCTCTCTTAGAGGCTGGTCAAACTCCAGGTCGAGGCCTTTAAACTGTGCTTGTCCCCAAAGATCATTTACCCGATTCACAAAATTCTGGAAGTCCACATTGATTTTGTTTTTTCTCTCTCTTTCCCTCTGTTCCTCCTCAATCTCATCTGGGTCATAAGCAGATCTCTTTCCACCTCCAATTGTTTGGACCGCCTCCATCACTTCAACATAGAATTGGACATCCTTGGTTTTCTTGTTGCCAATCATAATGTGGTTGTGCAGATGAAAGTGAAGAAGAGTAATCATCTCCTTATCAGCTGGCTGGAAAAACGCATGCTTTATGTTACCATACATGATATCTACCCGTTCATCTGGCCTTGATGTCGAATATCTAAAGCCATTCACATGAGCTTCCAGTGAGCCAGGCAGCTTTCTTGCACGGCCACCAAATGCAGGACGGATCCACAGGTCATGTAACTTAATTGGTTTAAATTTGTTGCCTGCAAGTACAAGTTTCTCCTGAGTGACAAGAGTTGCCCTCTCAGCCCTTTCAGACTCCCTAGCCATGACATTTCGTCTAAGCGTTTTAATCAGTTGCACCACTTCACTTATGTGCCTTGGGTCCTTGGAGCGGAATGAAACCTCCTTCAAGTAGATAGCTCCCAAATTTTTCAAAGAGTTTGTACCGTGAGGAGTGAAGGGAGTACCAGGGACATTAAATATGATCCTGATATAACAATTGCGATTAGTATCCTGCTGGCTGGAGACAGTCTTAACAGTAGCTACATGAAAAGGCACCATGCTTCCATAAATCGGTAGGAGAATGGCCTCATTCTTCTGATCAACCTGAATCATCATGTCCCTAGGTGGAGGTAGTTCATTGACACTCTTATAGGCAATTAACTCACCTGCAAACCTTACAGCAGTACGCCCATCCCCAGCTCCAGAACCTTCACCAGCAAGGCGTCGAGCAGTTTCTTCATTTTTCTGGCGAGCAAGTTCAGCCTGGTGCTGCTTTCTAAGCTCTTCCTTCGACAACTCCCCATTATCTGACCGAAGAGTTGCTTTGGTAAATAAATTGTCCTTGACATTTGACTCAGATTTCACTTTTGGCTGTTCTTCCTCTTCTTCGTCTTCATTAAATGAGTAGGCCACATCTTTGACAGCTTTGGAGCTTACTGAAGTTGCAACATCATGACCATTATCTGTCACAATCACTGTGTCTGCAAGTAACAACGAAAAATTCTGACTCTTGGGGTTGCTAGTCCCAGTTTGCAGATTTTGGAAGCCAATTGAAACATTAAAAATCATTCCTGGCTTCAGCACTCTGTCATTCTTTGCATTAAGGCTCAACCCCGATTCACGAAACTCCAAACCAATGCCAGTACCAGCAGATTTTGTCAGGTTTGGAACCAGCTCCGGAGCATCCCTTTCCACCACAGCAAGGGCCGCTTGATAAACAGCACTGACCTTATTTCCTGGTTTCAATGCAAGAATTGCTGCCTCGTGAGTCTTCAGAAGAACTTCATAGGCCCTGCTCTGTGCCGTATTTGCATCAATGAGGTATGTTCGGGCAATGTTGGAGCAGTAACTGTTATATCTCGATCCAATTGCACAAATGATAACACTGGCTGAATCATAGTATAGATACTCATCATTGCTTGAAGCACTAGGCCTAAGATCAAAAGTTCCACCACTCTGAAAGATTGGAGGATAACAGATATCTACGTTCTCGGCCTTCAGTTTAACACCAATCTTCACAGGGTCAAGAATTGCCTTTTCTGTGTCATCCATTAATGAGGAATGGGCAACTTTCTTCTCCTCATCGATAACCTTCTCAACTTTTGGAACCACAAAATTCTTCATTGCACACGCAGTCAAGTATGCAGCTTTCTTTACACATGTAATCTCATTTTTATCCTTCACCGAGAAGATATCAGACAACCCATTTGTTATGTCACTAAGCTGGAGACCTGAATTCTTTACCTTATCATCCCACAACTCCAACAATTTCCCTTCTGGAGCTTCTCTAGCAATATTTCCAACTACTGGGGAGCCACCATCTGGTTTTAATTGAGAACGAATACCACGAAGCACAGCATCCATATGAACACTACCATCATCACCTTTAGCCTTAACATGCATGACAATATCTACACCCACAACCTCCTTAGCAGACCTTTTCACAACCTCAAGAAGTGTTGCCTTCTTTTGGCTGCAGAGAAAATGAATATGCTTATCTCTGAAAACCATAATCGTCTCTGGAAACTCATACCCAAGCAACCAGATGTTCAAAGCAGAGGACTTCAGGTAGCGCAAATCCTCTGAAGGGGGAGGTGTGGCAATGGAAAAGGTATCAGCAGAACCCCACAGATCATCTTTGTGTTGACGCCAATGAGTGTAAAGAGCCTGCAACCGCTGACTGAATGTATTCAAGTCAATGGTATATGCATTACCCCCCACTGAATTACCATTTGCAGGCAGACCATTTGTACTGCGTTTTTCTGCCATTGCACAAGTCCAGGATGAATCTGCCAAAGTGAATCCATTCATAAATTAATAACTAAAAATAAAGAAGATACATTTCCAGGTCTGGGCGATCAATTGCAGCATACAAAGCAAATGTTAAATCGCCCTAAGAAACTGGAGAAGTACAAGTGCTACCAAGAACTTACTTGAAAAGCAAAAAAACCAATTTACAACTTAGGGACCAAAATCAAAACATGTATCAAACAGTTAAAAGGATAAAAAGTTTATCAAAGAGAAAAGGCAGATAAGTCATAAAAGTAACAGATGAGGGAAAAAAGGACAAATAATACGACAAACAAGACTAACACAAGATTCTTAATAATTACAAGTTCGGAACAACACGACAGACAGGTATAAACAAAAATGGATATCAAAAAATTGACAATACTAGGTTTAAAAGCCAAAATATTAAACAGCAATTGATACCCAGTAAGTGGACCATAAATGCGTGTTAATTACTCCATTTTCTTTTCAGAAAGAAACACATCCTTAATAGAAGTGGCATGAGAATTGACATTATAAACACACAAATAAGCAACAATCTGAACACAGTTAATGAAGAAATCAACAAGATCCAAAATAAATTGTGCAGCAATTACACATAGAGAACCACCCCATACTTTCCCTTTAAATCTTCGTATTTTCTCTTGGAAGAGTCATTTCAACTCAGGTCATAAGCGTAAAAGGCAATTTCTGTACCAGCAGAAAACTCGAGATATAAAAACAGATACAGGACTGCAACAACAAAAAACATTGAAAAAACAACTTACATTCTGTAATCCAATCTATCAAATTCTCGAATAAGAGCCGTCAAAATCAACAAGTCAGTTTATCTGCATTTCCAAGTCAAAAAATCAGTACAAAGAGAGAGAGAGTACCTAACTCAACCAATCACTTAATTGTGACATGAACGAACCCAAAGTGCAACAGATCTGAATTCTCATTTCTTTCATTCATTACTTACAACATTTTTCTTTGCCATATCAAATAAGGGTATCTGAACGCTGGAAACCACATCAATAACTAATATTATGTTAAACTTATACACAATTGATGAATCATGAAAACACAATCTCTAGTTCATATGTATTGTTTAAGGAAGTTAAGATCCCAAATAGTAGAAAAAGTCCGATAAAAAAACAACTATTTGTAAAATAAAAACACAAATAGCATCCCAATTTTTCAAAATGAAAGCAAAGTTCTTAATACAAATTCAAAATTAAACTTAAAACTCTACAAAAACGCAATCTTTGTACCCAACCCCAAACCTCCAAAATTACTACATTGACCCCAAATCTTCAGTTTTGAATCAAGAACTGCGTTTATTGACTTAAAAAGATCAATAGAAATCCCAAAACAAACTTCTTAACATCAGAATAAACGATTTTTCATCCATAATTGACCGTACCAGTAAAAAAAAAAAATTATCCCCAAATTTTAATTTCAATCGAGGTTAGGGTTCTTACAACTTCAATCCTCTATACAAGTGTTTAAATCGAAGAAAGAACCAGCGAAGGAACTAACATTCAATAAAGTTTCATGAGACCTCTGGATAAAAAGGACAAAAATCTTTCTCCATTCTTCAATGTATGAATCCGCCGACTCGGCTTCTTCGTAACGCGAAAAAATTAGGGTTAGGGTTTCAAACGCTTGGCCTAAAAAACAAAAAATAAAAATAAAAATCCAGTGCGGATGTTTCAAATATTGAATTACAGAAAAATTATAAAAGGGGTGAAAACATCTGGAGGTTGTTAAGGACGGTAGAAGGAGAATTCATAAAAAAATATGAATTATTACTTCGAAAAATCGAACTGAAATTGAGAGAAAAATGTTATAGGGAGCAAGAGAGAGATTGAGGAGAAAGAGTGAAATGATTTTAATTCGAGAAGCCTCTAATTCGAGCTTTTATACGGATATTAGTTTCAAAAGAAGCCCTGCTGGTGGTGAAAACTTCGAAGTTGCCACCGAAGGGATAATTATTTTGTGGCGATTTGACGAAAAAGCCATTTGTAGTCGTAGTAGTTCGTGGGCAGTTCACCCTTCACTTAATGGCTCTTCCGTAATTTAGCACGCCATTTTAGGGATGGCTTTGGGAGATAATTTTATTATTGAGGATATTTTAGGGATTCCGAATAGTGAGGGAACACTGTGGGCGGGAGGGAACGGTGTCGTTTCCTTCTTACAAGTTCTACCCTGGTGGACTGAAAATGGCGGGAAATTTGCACTGTAGTTGGCGGGTTTTGAAATGTTACGCAACGCCTACTATAGTGATTTGCCTTTTCTCGGACATGGAAAAAATATAGAACACTAAGCCCTCGTTTGGCCTCCATTTTGTGGAAAAATTAATGGGTGGAATAATTTTTTTTTTAAAAATAAGTAGTTGAAAAAAAAGGAAAAATTTTCTATTTATATGTAATATTATTTTATAGAAAATTATGTAGTTGAAAATAGAAAATAAAAAAATGAAATATGATGAAATGAAAATTAATGTGGGCCAAACAGGGAGTAATGGATTAAAAGCTCTTCGGTCGCTAAACTTTCAAATATATCACTTCAGCAATCAAACATTTATTTTAGCACAGATAGATAACAAACTGCAGAATTGTTTCAATTAAAACGTTGAAACATGTGAATTTGGTAATGTTTTCAAAGGAAGAACTTTATGTGGCAAACAAAAATTGATAATTGAGGCATAGATAGATAAACGATATTAACATTTAAAACCCTAAATTGATGGATTAAAAATTAAAAATTATTTAACTTTTTTAAATGAGAAATGTAAATCCAAAATTGAGTTAGAAAGTGGCCGTTTTTTAAACTTATTAATGTCATGTTGCGTATCTCATCAACCGCTAAGCAATCCTACTAGACAGTTAAACAAAATTGTTGAATTTACTAATGTATGGGTGAAAAGTCACTTAGTTGATACAATTTTGTAAATTTGATAGAGTGGCACTTTTTGAAAGTTTAGGAAGTAATTAGTTTGTATTTTCATTTTTCATTTTTATTTTCTAAACGATTTTTAGTTTTCCTCGAAAACGGTTTGTTTTTCGCGTTTTGAGCATTTTCGACATTTATAACTGAAAACAATAAAAAGTTGTTTTGCGTTTTCAATTATAAATTTTAACTCGTTTTCGAAAGAGTAATACTATTCGTAGTGAAAATTGTCGGTAGTCGCCTTATGTGGCATACACTTGGCAATTTGATATTTGATACATAGATATAGTAGTTATTTTTTTAATTATACATCAAATGAAAAACTACCAAGTGTACGCTACATAGAGCGACTGCCGGTAGTTTTCGCTGCGAAAAGCATTTTTTTTTCGAAAATACGTTTTTGAAAACGACGGAAACGACGGCCCAAACACGTTTTCTGCATTTTTGAAAACGAAAAATAAAAAATGGGTCGAAAATGGCAAACCAACCAAGGCCTTAGCAACCGATTTTTTAACCGTGTAAATTAATTTTAAATGTATTGATGTTGTTTGCATATTTTGATGAAATTTTTTTTATTAAACTTACCATCAATAAGTAAAAATAACTTTTGATATTAAGACGAAGGAGAAATCATGTTATGTCAGGTGGAACTAGGGATCCAAAATCGACGGAACTTGACCCGAGTTGTGTGAGAGGTTGGGTAGGAGAGCAAATAGTTGCACGTGCATTGTTATATATCTTAGCTTACTTGGTAGTTGCATAAATTCTAAGAACCTTAGGTATCGAAGAGCCTTTTTATAAGGGATAGCAGGTCGATGGCTTAATGCGATGTACCATGTTCTAATATAGAACTTCTCCGGAGTAACAATTAGGCCGAGTGTTACGTCTCGTCACACGTGGCTCCATGTCATCGAGGTCCATTTGTCCACGTGGTTGACCCATCGAGGCTCTCTGGTCAACTATTGGTTTAGCCGACCCACTCAAGTATTGGAACCACCTCCAATGAAGCCTCCCACGCAAGTGACGAGGCCTGGGACATTAGTCTGAGGCTCATTCATATCTCTTCTATTGAAACAGAGGGGTTGAGGAGAGGAAGCTCCACAAAGTCCGAGGTTATTACAGTAAGTGACGACTCACACGAAGAAGATCCTGAATTTATGTATGAAATCTTTTAGGAATGATTAATGGAATATTTGTGATAAGTATAAATGTAAAGTATTGTCAATAAGGTGGATGCTCTGTGTATGCATTAATTGCATGGCTATTGAGTGCAAATTGATGCCTAGAATTAGATGCTTCGGCTAAAAAAATGAAGTTACTTGTACTTTTATCCAAGGGCCATCATTTCGCTTGTAATGCTATAAATACCCATCCATGTAACATTTGAGGGCTGATGCAACTTTAAATACTAAAAGCCACTCCTTGTCTTTTCTCTTACCTTGTCCTCTCTCTTACCGATTTTACGTTTACCTAGCAATGAGTTTACATCGTTCGCTTTGATTGAATTGTTTGCGATTGGTTATCATTATACAATCGTTTCACGAATCCACCATTAGAACCTAAACACATTCGTCTTACGTCGTTGAGCTTCTTTCACGTCCACATTTTCAAAGCATCGACGACTATCATCCCATCCTTTCATGTTGGAACTAGCCCACGCGTGTATGAGTGGGCCCGTTGTCCGCAAGAATCAAGGTCAACACCAGGGTTTTTTTTTTCTTACCTTCGCGTGCACACCACGCATAGTCGCGTAGCATTCAAATTTCTTGAGAGATGAAATATTTCATGCTAATTCAATGGAGACTTGGAATCTTGACAAGATGGATTGTTCAAATAAGGTAATGAAAAATAAATTTTTTTGTACAAATAATTTTGTCGTTAACACTAGACTTTTCTTAAGAAGTCTAAGTGAACATGACGAAAAATAAGTTTGCGCCTCATCAAGAACCTTTTCCAAAATTAAATTTACCGCAAGACTCTTTCTCTAATAAATTTGTTCAATAATGTACAATCTAACGTAATAATTATGATAGCTATACAAAAAAGAACAATAGCGAAAATTCCCAACACATTAAATTTATGTAAACGAGCCTCCAACCTTATTCAATTAATTTGTTCCTTAACCTTTAAATAATGTATCACTTTAGTCTTCGTGGGACGGTTTTCATTTACATTCCTAATAGATCATGAATTTTTAATTTGTTGATTTAAAAAACATTTTTACCTTCATATTCAATTAAATATAAATAAGAAAAATGACACGTGACACATGATACATCTTTTTATTTTTCCTCCCCAAGGCAAGGGGTGGAAAGAAAAAGGGTGGAGAAACTAGCATGCCTAAGTTGAGGGTCGGCATAGTGTGATTCAATTTACTAAACACGTTAAGGGGTTGGGTACAATGCCGATTCAATGTACCAATCACGTTAAGGATACAAGGAAGACGATACTTACACTAATTTCATTTATTCAAAAGTTGACAAAGAGAAATACAACTTAAATTCGAGTTTACATAAGTAATTTAATTAAGATGTAATGCTATCCTACCCTTCCATTAGTCTCATCCAAAGTTTCATTAGATCCTTTACTTGACCCTATTGGATCTAAGTTTGAGGGCTTTGAACCACCTGCATTTTGCTCATTTCATTGAGATCGAATGTGCAGATGGCCAGCCTTATCACTCTACTGAAACTAAAGGTGGTGCTAGTGTAAATTGCTCCCCATGACAGGGTGATACAGTTTTGCTTGTATTGTTAATCAAAGGTACTTAGCAATTTAACACACGAGTTACTAAAATAAGAAATACAATATTGTAGTCGTTGATGCATTTTATGATAAAATTGGACCTTGCTTTGACTCTTATCATATTGCTATTGTTTTATGATACGATGATTTTCTCAATATTATTTCAATTTTGTCAAATGTCTTTGGAAGGGATCATGTGTTCAAATGCTATCAATTTTGACTCATGTTTTGATCACTGTTACTAAATTTTGTGAAAATTTGATGACAAAAATAAAGCTTCAGATTGCTTTAGCTATTGACTCAAATTATACTACTCACATATTTGGATATTGCACCAACTTTTATGAGCACAGTGATATTAAGTTCATGTTTGATCTCAATTTCTTCAAATGTTATTTTCAACCACATTTTACCAAATTTTGTCAAAATTTATTAAAAATATAATTTTCATTCAAATATATTTAATAAATTCGCAACTTACGCAAACCGCGGGGATAGCTCAGTTGGGAGAGCGTCAGACTGAAGATCTGAAGGTCGCGTGTTCGATCCACGCTCACCGCATTCTACCTGTTTTACGAAGTTGGGCTAAAACGGTATTATTTTTGAAGCCCCAATTTTTCAAAGCCCAGGCTCCAGAGCAGTCAAAGTCGTGCTTAGTCCTCACTTTTATTTAGTAGATTTTCCATAACAATTTTTTGGGTAAAAACAATTTATTTTATTTTATTATTTTTTAAATTTGGTGAACGATTTTGATTTGATTTCAAGGAATT